ATTACCATCTTTTTGGTTCGCTGTAACACCATCTTAATGGGAAAACGTATGCAAATGTGGAAGGTGTTAAAGTGTACATCGACATGTTTTTTGCTTCAAAGCCAAGTGATTTCTTTAATCAGGGCATTGACAACCTGATTGTTAGATGGAAAAGCATCATCGATAAGAATGGATACTATTTCAATTAATAACTGTTTTGTTTTGAGATATAAGGTGTTCGGGTTTTAATATTATATTAATATTGGTGCATATGTATATATACATATATATATATATATATACAATAGTACAGTGGCATTTTTGGGGGTTTTTTTTCACTTTGTTGGCAGCTGCCATAGTGCTAGTTTCTCCTTCTTTAATCTTATTAGCCGTTGTTATCCGGGCAGAGCGTGACCTAGTAGCTAATGTGCTCGGACTGGGAATCCAAAGGTTCATGTTTCATTTCCCATTGTAACAGAAACACTATGGAGCCGTAGATATCCTAAAAGAATAACTGTCGAATCCCACTACGGGATTAGATAAGTAGAAAAAAAAGTTGGTGTTGGTTTCTGTTGACTAGGTGCATTCCTTCTAGTATATTATTTCAAAATTAGGAACGGTTGTGCGCAGATATAGCTCTTTCGGTAGGTTTGCGCAGAAATTCTGAAACAACCAAATAAACCCTTTCATAATTAATTTAGAAAAACAAAAGTTTCTGAGAAAGACAAACAAATCTTACAACACGTAATCGATGAATTTATCTTTCCTAGAATCAGGTACATATTTGGTGAAATTACAGATATTTGTTATCAAACCCGAAAACTCATTAGGATCAACTTACTGCAATCTGTTGACCCACAAGCATGGTTTTTACTTATTTTCAATAACTCGTGGATACAACTTTAATTCAATTTTGATAACACACAGATATGAAGTAAATAATCATGAGAATACAAGTTTAGTTAACAGAATGTAGCTCGCGATCATTATAATTAATTATATCACAAAAAAGAGGGCTTATATGTGACAAAGATGTTCACTGTCGACAGAAATCATGAAATGTGGTATATGTATATATATTTCAAACATTTGGGGAAGCAAGTTGTCAGACAAAAGCTTCCCATTGAAATCCTGGACGGCCATTGTTTGTGATACTTACCCAAAAATTACTATATTGTTTGTAAACACCTGTTTGGACTTAATGCTCATAATTTCACACAAGATAAGATGCGGGTTAACTTTGTGGTAGAGCTCTGGATTTCAGAGCTGGCAAGTTAGACTCGAAATTATGCGACACCACTAAATATTACCCGCAGCACTTTAATAAACTGTGGGTGCGTTAGAAAAGTGGAATTATTTCTTGGTTACCATTTTCATCAAGTCCTATTGTTTTTGCAGCATATTTTGTGTTTTTGTTGTTTTTTTTGTTCTCAGCGAGTACTATATTATTTCTAAAGAATATTATGTTCTATTGTTTCTTGGTTATCGTTTTCAGCGAGTCCTATTGTTTTTGCAGCATATTTTGTGTTTTTGTTTTTTTTGTTCTCAGCGAGTACTATATTATTTCTAAAGAATATTATGTTCTATTGTTTCTTGATTATCGTTTTCAGGGAGTCCTATTGTTTTTATTGGATATTTTATTGTATATTGACTCTTGATTGCTCTTTTAAGTATCCTCTATATTTTTTTAGCAGCATATCACATTCTCCGTGGATATCTGATTTTTTATTTATCACCGAATCTTGATAATCTAACATTTCTTTGCTAGGTAGATTTTATTTAGTTCTAGTATTACAGTTTTCTCTATGGAAATTTTATTCTATTTCATTTCAGTGTTTTTGGCAGTCCTTTTTTACACGTTTTCTTAGACGTTACAAGTGATTATCCTAACAAAATAAACGTATAAACATGACACTTTAAAGAGTTAACCAGCATCAAATGGAATTCCCCTAAACGTAATTGTTACTAGATGATAATGGATAAACGGCAGTAATCATTAAGTTTCACGTCTTATGAATAGCCATTGTTCTTTTGGCTTTCTATACAGTTTTATGATCCCATAAAAATTAATAACGACAGTTTCTTGTTAAATAAAATATTCGTAAAACTAAGTGGTTTTATAGTCCTATAAAAATTAATAATGGTTATTGCTGGTTAAATATAATTGTCGCAAAGGTATAAATTCATACAAAA